CAGCTAAATTTACGCAAATCTGATTTGTGCCAGACGAAAAGTAAAGACAGTCAAAAAGGCAAAAAAAAAAACGGCGTCTTCTTTATATCCATGATATTCTTTGTGATTATGTCTAGCCTAGACGCTCTCTGTGTACATGTGTGCATTTCCCTCTGTGTGTGTGTGTGTGTTTGAAAAGCTAATGAAATTTTCGTCTTTATAGCATTGAAAATTGTTTTTGCACGACGAGGCGGCCAAAAATGCAACCCAAACCAGACGATAACTAAAACTAGCATTCAATTCAATTTCAGCGCCGCGACTCTATGAAAGCCAAATAGAGATGAGCGCGTGAAAATACACTTCAAAAACACAAAGCTCACGGAATATACAATTACTAGCGGGTATTGCCCAGTCTTGCCCATGGAGCGTTTTGAGATATTACCTTTCCACTATTCCCCCACTCGCCAGCATGACCACTTCTCATCAACGGTTTCCGCCCATGTTGGCAGCAGACTTTTGATGAATAATCTTCCTTCCTTTATCAATCGTAGAACCATGCTTGGATTAATATTTACTCATTAGCTAATTACGGGTCAAATCGACTCTTCTGTGCTGACTAGCCAATTCAATTTCTCTATCCCCACTTAACTATGCCTTGCATGAACCATTCAGGGTTCTCTGTGCTAATTATAACAAGCATTACAGGTTATTTTGCTCGGAGTCTTCTCTTCCACGTATAAAGTCTTCTATTCTAAACTATTTAGAAAGTAACTATTCTTAGCATATAGTCGAAGGTTGTATCCTTTTTTACTTCGCAACTCGTGTCTACGTTACACGTCAGCGCCTCACGGTCGATTGGGCGGGAGGTGGGATGCAGTACATCGGCATTCGCGGGAAAAAATAAAAATACAAAAAAAATCTTCCGCTGGGAGTCTTGAAACTGAAGAATAAACTTTCGTTTATTAAACCCGCCTTTGCCACTCAGAGCTCTGTTCTTTACATTAAATACATATACAGAAGATATAACGCTATGCATTCGCTTTGCTTTTCTTCCTTTTGGGGGCTTTAACCCTAAAATCCGATCTAAGCTCAGCTTTGAATTAAGTACCCTTTTCTTAATCTCTTACAGCTATTTTTTCTTTGTGCCAAATAAAAAATGTAGTAAGCAAATATAAAGATTAAGATATTGCTTGCGGATTCGAACCGGCGATCTCAGACTTGTTAGTCTGACGCTTTTACTGGCGATAAGTCACGCGGATATCTCTAAGCAAGCTAATAGGCCATAAGAACGACGAACGGGCGGCTGCGGTTGAAATTAAAAAGGAATTTACCCAAATTGCTATTGAAGCCCGCGAAGTGAAGCGTTTGCGAGGCTTTTGCTTCTGCGGTTTGGGCAAAGTGCCAGGCAAAATGCTGGCAACAGTTGCAACTGTGGATTCGCTGGCTGGGGTTGACGGGGGGCGACAGTTTAATTGGGTTAGCAACGTCAACGGGCGTCGCGTCCCAGAGAGCTGGATCATTGGCGATGACATGCTGCGAGCCTGCAGCGGCTGAGCTACGAATTGAAGTGGAGTGAAGCGTAGATGAGAGAGCCGCCAATGCCAATCCCAATAGCAATCGATTTTCGTGCGCACCGTTCACTGGATTATTTCGTAATTAAACGCAAATGCAGCGGCCGTTGCTGTTGCTGTTGCCTGTGCCACGCCTTCGTTTCATTTTGGCCAAATGAAGCGTAAAAGCGTGTGGGCGTGGCCAATGAATGTTGTTTTTGACTGACCACCAAAGCGGCCGTCGATTGTTGGCCATGTTTGTTGACTAATTAATGACACTTGAATGCTTGATTTCACTGCATGCAGTTCCATTTCCAACGACCTTATCTATGGGTCAGTCACAGCGATTGCTGCGTGTTCGCGGTCAGTTTGACGAATTTCGAATTTGGCAATCGTGAAATGTTAATGACCCTGTGTAGACGGCGCCTGGACAACAGTTACCGTTCTGCTGCTGCAGATCCCCTATTGCCATTGAGTTCATTTGTAATTTAACAAGCTGCTGCCATTCACATTTTGACGGATAAACTGTTTGGCACAGGAGATTGAAATTGACGAGGGCTCAAACTGTTTACTTTCCATTTATATGCGAGCCAATGGTGAAAATACCTAATACAGATGTTTTTCTATAGCCTTGCAGAGAATATACAGATTGTAGTATGTAAAGCATATAAAGAGACATCTCCGACAGCATATGATATAAATATTCTTGATCAGTATCAACAGGCAGCTCAATATAGATATTTCCGTGTTTCTGTCTGTCCTTAGCTCTGATTCTCTGTAAACTTGTCTTCCAATTTTAAAGCTAATGACACGAAACTGTTGCAGGCCTTAAAAGTTTCTACATTACAAAACATTTCATTAATGATCAGTGTGAAACTATGCGAGTTATCTCATTTTTCCACTACCTATCAAAGGCTTGGTTAAAATGTTCACACTCCTTTTTTCTGTGACGTGTTAAGTGCTATTATTTGTTGTTTGGCAAATTTAACACCCATGCAGCCAGCCACAGCAACTAATTGCAGTCAGTTGTAGGTGCAGGACACTGGCCAGGCCCCGGCAGCAGCACATGGACGAGGAACCCGACCTAGACCAGAACCCAGCTTCATAATTAATTCAAATTTAAATTTCCTTTCGGCGCATTGCACGCGCCATTTTACACTGGCGAGACACGTTGTGGTGGTTGCCATAGGGATGGGAGGCAGAGGAAGACATGGCGGTCAGGTGGCCATAATCATGCGCGGCTTTTAGCGTCTGCCACGCCCAGAACATACGTGTGTGTTTGTGCTGAAAGGGGCTGGCTGCCAGCATAATAAACTGTTTAAATATTTAGTTGAAACGAGTTTTTAATGCTCATTTGCGCTTTTAGCAGCTGGCAACAACATAAGCCTGAGAAGCGGGCCAGAAGCAGGCTAATACCATGCACTTGTTTTTGTTGTTTTTACTGGAGTCGCATCATGAAATCGCCCTTACATAATTACAGATTGTGATACCAACACGCTTCGCTGAGCCGAGCAGCTGTTGTTTCAGCAGCAACAGCCGCTTATTAATTTTTAATTATGCCAAAGATGGACTTGACCTTTTTTTATGCAGCACTGAGCAGCATTTTATCTTGTCGCTGATTCAGCTTGGCTTTCCTTTTCCAGCTCCTTAGATATTCTAATGCGGGTAATCAGCTCCTCATTTTAAGCTGAAATTGTTAAAGTGACATTTGGCATTGAAACATTTTGGTGTAAATCCATTTTTATAAAATGAAAGGTCGCCGGTTCAAGTTAAGCAGCAATTTTCACTGTTTATTCGCCTGGCCAAAGCTGGATAGTACCCAAGAAAACTATGCGTCGTATACGCAACAAATTTCATTACTTAGATTTCATATGTGCCATTGCTTTGTTCAAGACATTGCAAACAAAAGCGGGAAAAGGGAATTTTAATCTTCTGTTTAAGCTTGTGTTTACTTTCCAATTGCCGAAGCAGAAAATGTAACAACTAATTTGTCATATGTTTGCTGCAAATCATGAAATGAGCACCAAAACTGAGGCATCTCCTCACTGAGGATTATTTCGTTGCCATTTCGCAATTATTCAAATTGCCCGTCGAGAGGAGGGGGACTGCGCGCGAAAGTTGACTACACAGTGCATGTATCTGAAGCTAAGCTGTCATTTCGTTGAGTGCTGCACAGGTCGCGGGGTCTCGTCAGATTGGATGAGGTGCGAAAACTGGCACGTAACGCAGCCTGCAGCTGTCGGAGGCTATGTACAGTGAAACCTGTCAGGCAAGTCTGCAATGGCACTGCAGCTGGGCAGCGACTAACTAAAATATGACCCCAACGCCAAACATCTCGCCAATAATTAAAAAATTTATGCCCAGCAGGTACAAGAAACGAATTACTCTATTTAAAGCAACAGTTGATGGCTGGGAGAAAAAAAATAAGCAGAGGTGATGACAATTATTTATATTATTAAATTGGCTTTATTTTAACATCTCCTTATTTAGTTGTATGTCGTGTTTCTCTATGCAAAGTTTTAAAATTTATTTTTAGGTCGTTTTCCACAGTGGAGGCGTTGGTTTTTCGAAAAGTGTGGAACACCTATCAACAATGATCTTTGAAAATTAGCCTGAGGCCGATCGGATGGTAGTTTTTGCGGGCGGCATTTCAATTGATCTCCAAACACTAAACAGCCACTCAGGGCAAATAGTTTTATATTAATAGATTTGATTACCTTAAACAGAGACTGGCTTTAAAGTACGAGCATGTTTCCTCTGTTGGCCACATTGCGTATGAGCGATGAAGTACAAATGGTTTTGACTGACGACCTTAACAAGATGTGCAAGTGCTCTCGCAACTGCTGCAACATTTTAAAATGGTTTCTGGGCTCAACAAACACACCACTAAAAGTTGCGCAAACAACCACCAATCAGTCAGGCAGTCAGTCAGCCAGCGTGTTGGTTTACGGATACGGATGCGGAAAACATATACTGTCAGCTACATCCTTTCGCTCTGCTTCTTCTAATCTATGTCAGTGGGCAGGGACAGGGACACGGGCAGGAACGGAAGGAGCGGAACGCAGGACGCTGACTAAAAATGCTTTCGGTTTGCGCAAAATGCAATTCGCCGGCAAATGACGCGTGTCACTGACTGACAAGCAAATGCAGCTTACTGTTGCAGTTGCTCTTAGCTGTGGTCGCCGGCATATTTCGGTCCGTTGTACTACTAGCACTAGGCCACGCTGACAGACAGGCAATCTAATTGAAATGCATCTAAAGAATGAGCACGCAAGCTAGATAAATTTGCATGTGGCAGCAGAAATGAGATAAGTGATTGATTCTCTTATAACACAAAAAAATGTCACTTTCTCATTAAGAGCGTTAAGATATTACGGGGAACCTTCATTAATTTTTGTTGTTTTAAATTCAATTAATACAATTTTTTTTTAATATAAACTTGGAACCTTGAATTTAACGGCAGGTTAAAATATAAAAAATATATATTAATATATGCATATGCTTTCTATTAGAAAACAACAAAAAAAAATAGCAATTGCAAACATATTCGAAGAGCAAACTTGCATTTAACAATATTATACCAAATCATGCACTCACTTCAAATCGATGGCCTCTTTGAGACGCTGGATACCGCTGCCAGCTATTTTGGTAACATCCTCACCCACCTGCCAAGAGATGACGCCAGTTTTCACATCGCGCCTCTGCACACATTTGATAACCTGACGATTCTCTGGCAGCAGCGTCATAGCGCCCGGATATTCAATGAAGACAACCAGACCCAGTGTCTCGGACAGCTCAATGATGCGATGCAAATAGCGCAAGTAAAACCATTTCTATTAAAAGTATATTTGAGAAAAGAAAGATCGTTCAGATCGTTAGTGTTTTGATATTAACCGAAACTTACAGTCGAATTGGACGCATCTTTAGAATGTATGCTGTTCATAAAAGAGGCCGTCGCGTATTGCAAGCAAACGAACTCGCTAAGCTGTGGTAGCAGTTGTTGTTGTAGTGTAAGTTGACTATTTAGACTATGTAGCTACGTTTACGCACCTTCTCGAGTTGTCCCAGAAACAGCACCGACTGCCGGGCAATATGTGCCAGTGCCATTTGAAAGGCCACCAGCAGTATGTCCATTATGTTATGATCAGCGCGATGCCAAAAACAGTCGGTTTCATCGCGAGTTAACTTGATGCTGGTGCGCACATTGCGAAAATCAAAGTCATCAACACTCTGGAAAACCGAAGACCACTTAAATTTACTTTTAGAAAATGTAATTTAAGCTAAAAAACCAGGCACTTAGACGATATACCATAAGGCGGTTATTTGACCTGGCCCGATTTGGATTTAGCTTATGATTTACGTTTATTATAATACTGTTCGTAACGCCGTTGGTCGGTCACTTCTATTGCAACTATATGACACATATAACTTACCACCTGATCCAAAGCTGTATAGCGATTGAGGCGTGGCACAAAGAACCACACGGTGTACTCATTAATGGTGATGTACTCGAAAATGCAACGCACTTGGTCAAAAATGTGCAGCAAAAAGCGGCGCTCGGTGAGACGAGTTGTTTCATTGGCCACCAGAAAGTTGTTCGCCAGCCTTTTCAAAAGCTTCTGCTGGTCATCGTCCGGACGCTCCAGAAGCTTGGCAAAGGTATCAAACGGATTGCCATCTCTGAAATTAATTTGTAAATATCTTATATGTTTGCAATTTGTGAAATGTCACCCACCTGAAGTTGCTGTAGCTGCTTGCATCAGCCTGGATGATTTTCAGCCAGTTAATTGCACAATCCTGATGCACACTGCGCACCAGGTCAGATGTGTGCGGCGGCTGTACAAAGAATATGTTATGGAACTCGGCGACGGACACCTCACGCCAATCACCCAAGTTGATCTGAAACTTAATGGAATCCAGGCGATGCACATCATCAAAGCGACGGTGCACGTTTACCTCGTAAATCATTTGGCGACGTGCGCGCATTTGCTGTTTTTGCTGATTGCGACGGTCTTGGCGCTCTCTGGCCTGCTTCGAAGTGCTTGGCTCCATGTCCAAGTCGCTGTCTGGGTCAGGATCATACTGAACACTAATGCCGCCCAAGCGTTCCAGCTTGAAAGTCATCCCGACGCTACCCTTGCCAATTTCCAGCTGTGGCAGGCGACGCAAGCTCTCAGCGTTGGCATACTCCATGCCACACATCAGCTGAAGCGCATGGCCAACGGGCGTAACTATGAGTGGCGATGATGGCATTGTTCCGTTTGGCTTGTCCAGATTGTATAGCAATAGATGCACATTGTCCACCTGGGAAAATTTTAAATACTCCTTCTCGCAACCCAGACAATCTTCAATGGTCAACTGCAGCGTGTGTGTGTGTGTGTGTGGATATAGGAGATAAATATTTATTACACTTAAATTCAAAAACTTACCGACAAAATTTGCAACAAATTAGATTCGATGTGTTCAGCCATCGTTCACAGTTTTCTTTACAAAACTTTTTGGCTTTTCTCGAACTTTAAGGCACATGTAGCGAGCACTGAAAGAATAAGTGTTGATAAACGTGTGAAGCTCAACGCGTTGCTGTTATCGATAATCCTAGCTCTTAACTGCATTTGCTTGAGTTGTCGATCACTTACTAAGTAAAGTATATTAAATTAATCAACTTGTTGTTCATTGTTTAAGTATAATAAAAGCCACAAACTTAGGCTGGCTAATAGAGTTTCAGCTTATAATTGCAGCCGACACCGAAAAAATGTGCAAGCGTTGAATTAAAATCCTATTGTCCTCGAATACCAGATTTGTATTAAACTAACTGAACCCATGAGACTTGTGCCTGAACATCCCAAAAATGATTTTGTCCAGCTCTCATGCCTTGCAAAATTTGCTAAATCAAAAAGGAATTAACATTTTAAGCTGCGCTAACCACATGAAGTGAGCCATTAAATTGAAAAAGCCAACATAGTATGTACATAAAATTAGGATTAACGGCTTTCTAAGTGCCATCAAAGTCCCCGGAGTGTTTGCTCTGGCCAACAATTAGTCCAATGTGGCATATTAAAATCGCTATAAAATGACATTTTTTATACCCAAAAATATGTTCATGCGCTTGGCGAACTTTCTAATTTACCGGAGTAACCAGTGAGAACGCCGCCTCGTAAAAATGCCAGCAAAGTAATAAGTATTTAAACAAATAAAACAAAATTGTGATTTCTTGTCAAATTTTTTATGAGGCCGCTCTTTGCACATTACCAAAGAGTTTTATTTACTATGACCGGCAGCTCCACATCTTTGCGAAAAACGGATGCTGTTCTATTGTAACTAAAGAATTTATATATATATATTTACATATAAAAACAGTGAAATCTCTCAAATATTTTTGTGCCCAAACTGCATAAAAAAATTTATACATATGTATTATTATTAATGCATAACTTATTACTAAAGGTTAAGGAATTGCCCGACGATCGCTTAAGTGAGCTTTTAATGCAAACAAACATTTAATTTTACTGCGTTTTGGGCGCTTTTGAAATATTAATGATGATTGCGTTTTGGGCGCAATGCGTGTTTCTTGATTTATAACCTCTCTCTTGGCCAGATGTGTTTCAAGGTCTTAGACTGTGTCTTTTGACTGATCATCAGGCTTTAAACGCTGCCCCATGCCATAAAATATATACATATAAATAAAATTAAAAGTGAGTCTAGTTTCATATATTGTGACCACACAAGCAACTTTTAAATACAAGTGCTTCGTTTGTAGCCAATGCCAGCGGCTGCAAGTAGCTTAAATAACTGCAATTGGTTTCTTCATAACCATAACACCATTAATTCAATAAGCCTCACACACACATGTCCAGAAATGTGGCTGTCGTAAAATATTTGCCTTAATTTTTCTTTTGCAACTCACAAAAACACTTAGGCCTTACTCCTTTGCAGCTGCTGCTCAATCGATTGGGCCATTTTAAAATATTCAACAGCTAAACTGCGCGGACAGTTGCAATAGAGCTGTGACCACCTAATAAGCCAACTAGTCGCTTGGGTCGATTCGCTAGCTCGTAATGCAAAAGAAATTATGGCAATTTAACGGAGGATCGCGATCCAGACCTGGTCTCACATTGCAATTAGTTGGCAACGCTGCCTCGGGGCAGCTCTGCATTGGAGTTGAGCTCTGCTCTGGTCCGGTAGTCGTTGAGATTTTATCGCTAACATAAATTTTCAGATAAAAGCGCGAAAATGTTGCTCATGACTGGCTACATGTCCACACAAGGACAAACACACATACACACACATTCGTTAGCCCCGCCCCCGCGGTTCGATGGCTCGCATAGTTTTCGATCATTGAGCAAAAGAAATTATAGCAATTTGCTTGTCAAATTGTTGCCAACCGGCACAATAAATCGAGCTCTTTAATGGAGGACCACTGTGTGGCATCGGTCCGTTCGATCGCGATAGAGTTGTTTTAGAAATAAATTATCCCCAAGGCACACCAGGCGAGCTGTAGATCCTCGTTTGCCGGCTGGAGGATTCCATCGTCGCTTAGTGGCCGTTAAATTGTAAAATGTGCAATTTCATTGGCATGGCTTTTACTTAGGCCGATCATTTTCCGCACTAATTTAATGGTGCTATACCATGAAGCAACCAAATTGAATATAACTGCAAGTCGAATCGACGACTAAATTGATTGCAATATTCTTGTGTTGATTTATAGCATGCGGGCAGGTAATTTGACGTTTCTTATGGATTTCAGATGGGGTTTCAATTAAATAGGTGCTGAAGATAAACTGTGAAAAGATACATTTTCATACCCTGTAGCGAATAAATACGTGGTCGGCGTTGAAGCATAAAAAGGGGCACTCATGTATTAAGACTTTGATTCAATTCAATATGGGGAGGAATCGCAACCGATCCGGCAACTAATTTTTTTTTTTATAATTGAGGGTATCTCCGAGTCGAGCAGTCTTGACTCACATTTTTACACCACTCGCAATCAACATTTTGAACAACAATTTCTAGAAGTTTAGCCAAATGCAAAGTCCCCAAATGATATCTGGACGCTAGCAAAGCCTCCAGCTTAATTTCGCATTTATTCCGGGCGAAACTGCAAATATGTGCTGTGCTTTTTTCTAGCTAGGTCTGATCTAGAAATGCATAGGTAAACGGTTCGCTTTAAGCCGGGCCTAGCAATGGTCTGCTCAACTCGCATCTGCAATTACGGGCATTTTTATAGTCTCCATGTTGTGTGTGCCGCTTGCACCTGATGTGGTCCTTCGTGGTGGCGCATGTGGTAAGCTTTGGGCGCCCATTGCCCGTAATTCGAAATGTTTACGGTACATTTAATTTCATTTGGATTATTACAATATGCTTTAGGAGTTTAGCTGAGAAATGTTTGGCTCTTGCCGTGGCTTGCTCTCTCACTCTCTTTCTCTCGCTTTCTGGGTTTCTCTGTTTTTCTCATGCTCCATTTGCGGCGTCTTTGCCCGGAACAATGAGCCATGAAGTGGGTGGGCGTATTTTGGCTTTGGTTCTATCCGACACTCAGGTGCTCATTTTTCATTGTTGTTGCCGAAAATGTAATTGCGAATTTCAGACAAATGTGAAATTTGAATTTACAAGTTTAACTTTTCTTGTAACGAGCAAAATCATTTGTTTGGCTTGCTTACAGACACACACACACACACAGGCCGACTGCTCCTTTTATGCATGTGGGTGTGTTTGCTTCGAGTGTGCAGTTGGCAATTCTCGACTAAGTTCATTTGTTCCATTTCAACGCTCCCAGCAGCAGGCAAAAGCCAGCAGGCAGCAGGCAGCAGACAGCTTCCGTCGCATTTCTTGCCAGGCCGCATAAACAAATGTACTTCCCGGTTTTCGGATGCTGAGCTAACTTCCCCTCTCCAACCCATCCCCTTTCCAGCAGCATATTACCAGTATTTTCAATCTTTCGCCATTCAACAATGGCAGCCGTTGCCATATTTCCTGCTTTTTGTATTGTGCCTCTTGTGCTTTGCCTCGAATTGAATTCTCAGGTATACCCTACACAAAAACATTTAGTTTTTTTTTTCTCATTTCTGGGTTTGTATGTGATGCATCAAACGAGTCGGTCAGAGGCTAGCCGATATATAAAGCTAACTCGTATAGCGATGAGCTTGCGTCTGTGATAGCTGGACCATAGTATTAATTGGGAAATTTGTTTATGCAAGCTCAACTATATACTTCGTTTCTGGAAGCTGTAACCAAGCGGGAGTTTTAAGTTGCTTATTTTACTTCTTAAACTTAGAGTGAAAATACTTTTTTTGATGATGAAGTGTTTATATAAATTCAAAATGACACTCTTTATTTGAACATAATAGACATTTGATTGAGTTTAGACATTGTGTCTAACATTTATTCAAATCCATATGTTAAACACGTTTCATATATTAAAAATAAAACATTGGAATTTTTTAAAACGATGTTCTTATTTATAAGCACCAAAAAGGCATACACATTTAATTGACTCTAATACCCTGTACCGATTAAAATGGAGAGAGTTTTGTTTATTTCTCTTGAGTTTTATGTTTTTAATTTCTGGAACAAACCAATTCGCTTAGGTCTGCGAGTGCACAATAGGCAAAGTATCGATATATCGTCGATGTGATATTTTTGCAAGATCAGCAGCCACGCACTCCGTTACCCCACTCAACATTAGTTGCTCTGCGCTCTTTCTGTGTGTGTGGTCGTGGACCGGCGAAAAAGAATTCAATTTTGCAAAACAAATACAAATTATTAAATACCCGTGAATTGCTTTTGCTGCAAATATGGCTAATTTAAAGTTTTACAATCCTAGCACTAACATGCTGCGAGCTTACATGGTAAATTTCAATGACCAAAGTTTAAGAGAAAATGATACTTGCTTCGGGGAATATCTGGAAACACGCCAATTGAGCTTTGACAATATCTGCTCTGTTCTTAAAAAGCTGCTCACCATTGAGGATTTGAGCAAAATGGAAGTCTACACTCAACTCATGCAGACGAATGTAAGCGTAATGAGAGTAGACAGTGTACGTTATGAAATTAATCTAAGCCAAACTGAAATTAATGCCGAAGATGTCTTAAAGCCCGACATGGACGAGCTAGTACTTGTGCCAAATGCAAGTCTGTTGGAAATGCCCTTGCCCAATCCGCTGATCTTGGCACAGATGCCGCATATACACGAGTCTCTCGATCCAAGAGATAATAAGTGCCGTCATGTAGGCAGCATCGTAAAAGTAGAAAACTCAAGTGTTATTTTTGAATACTCAAACATAGATTTGATGAATTTACACAAAAAATGGAACATTATCTTTAGATCCCCGCGCATTCCGTTTCGCCTAATGTACCACGCACTGGACCTGCTTATGGTGTGTCGCACAGAGCGCAATTATTTGTTTGCTATTCCTAATTTAACTAATCGGCTTCATAAGTCCGACTGTTTTGAAGAATTTTCTCTGATCAACACACAAATCGCCACAAATAGTGAACAGCTTCAGGCAGTAAAGCAAATAGTTAATGGACCTAACTCTCTAG